GTGGGTTAAAATGAAAAAGAAAGTGGCAAACACATAAGCCGTGAGCCTGCTTCGCCTCAAGCCTTTCCCAGCTGACCCAGAGCCGGTCACGGCGCACCATCAAGGCAGAAATACGCCTGCCGGGAGCCATTCAGCACCGCAGAGAGCTCCCCATACAACCCCGACCCCAGAGTTAATAACAGGAGGTTATGGTGTTTCACTCTCTTCTCTTTATGACACTTGTATCTCGACCAGTAGCCTACTTTTGTTGTGTTTGTGCTCTATGGTACACAAATACAGTATAGCCTAGTATAATCACATATCGGAATAACGGGACGTCAGACCAATGACATGGACCCGCAAAGCAAACAATGTTAGGGTTAATGGCAGATAACCTGCAATCACTAATGCTAATGTTAGCATCCTGTAAATAATGTTATCCACTTTTCAGCAAATCAAGTGTGTCAAAATGTAGACACACCCCATGTCCAAAAGTATGTGGACCCATATTTTGTTGCACCTCTCATTACTATGGTGGCCAACAAAAGCAAACACCCTACAACAATCCAAAACATTTCCATCAGGAGAAGTGTTCTGCAGTTTCAGAAACTACGCTAATTCAAAAACACATGCAAAACAAAAATACAAAACAAATTCAACAACGGAGATGTGCTGCAGAAAGCCAAAACATATTGAAACAAGCTGCAAATACAGAAACAACACAATGTTAACAACACACAAATCCTGACAACAAATGCAACAGGAAAACGCTGCATACGCAGTCAACACAACGAAAGTTCTCGAGGCATCTAGGATGAGTGCTCAGTGGAACAGCTGGATTTTTGACCATTTAGTCTTTTTAAACTGGAAAACAACGGCGGTAAAGAGGTGCCATAAAAAGGAATATTCCTTTTCTTTTTTTACATTTGGCCTTAGTCTTTAACAATATTCTAAAAGACAAAGTCTCAAGCACACCAATGCTTCCTAATGGAAATGTTTTGGGCGATGTAACGCATTTGCTCTTGTTGGTCACCATACATTACAGAAGAGTGGGCATTTATTTATTCATTCATCTCTGTAACCACTTATCCTGTTTGGGGTTGCAGGGGGGCTGGAGCCTATCCCAGCTGACATTGGGCGAGAGGCGGGGTACACCCTGGATTCCTACGGCCAATTAAGAGTCACCAATTCACCTGCGTGTCTTTGGACTGTGGGAGGAAGCTGGAGAAAACCCTGCTGACACAGAGAGAACATGCAAACTCCGCACAGAAGGGCTCCCCCCACCCGAGGGTTCGAGCAGGTAACCCTCTTGCTGTGAGGTGACAATGCTAACCACTGCACCGCCACGCCACCAGTGATTCCAAAACAGCCACAACTCTTCTGGGAATCCATAAGATTTTGGAATCAAGCTCCAGGGATTTGCTCCCTCTTAGCCACAGGAGCATTATTGAGGTTGGCCACTGATGTTGGGATAAGACCTGGCTCACAGCTGACATTCCAGTTAATCCTAAAGATGTTTAGTGAGGTCAGAGCTCTGTGCAGGCCAGTCGCATCTTTCCACACCAAGCTGGGAAAATCATTTCTTTATGGACCTTTCTTTGTGCACTGGGGCATTGTCAATTTGAAACAGGGAAACTTCCCTAAACATCAATGCTGTCTAAAACATGCCCAGAACATAAAAACAGTCACAAACCACAAGTAATGCACATATATGGACATACTTTTTGGGTATATACTCTGATGTACAATCTGTTGCTGCTGTTGCCATAGATGTCGGACCTTTAATACTCGGGGGCCAACAAATAAGAAACATAGCGTCTCTGTATTATAAGGAGAGGCACAAACACAAAGGCAGACAAAATGCCTAAGATGTAGAATGAGACAGCTGAAGATGAAGGTAAATAAACAATCATGAAGATGGACAGGCAGACAGACACAGATATGAATAAGAAGCGAGACAGGAGGTGTGACAGCGCAGTGAGGCATGTAAAGGCAACTGGTGCCGCCGCGCTGCTCCTTGCCCCTGCGGCGCACAGAGCAAAATGAAGCTGGAAAGAGGGAGGGCGGGGACCAAGACAAGAGAGAAAAGCCGGGTGTGATTGACTAGAGCAAAATGAGAAGACATGAAAGGAGAAGAGGGAGAGAAAAGACAAGAAAGGCGAGGGAGAGGGAGGATGGGGAGAAGGGGAGAGAGGAGCGTGCCAAAAATGTGACAGGCAGAAAAACAAGGGACTGTCAGTGACTACATTTAATCCACTGGGTGACTGTAGCATTTAACAAACTCTGCATGATTCTGTGTGTGTGTATGCATGCTGAACCTGTGTGCATGTGTCTTTGTATGTGTGCACACCTGCCTCTGTGATTATGCCCGGTTACCTGCGTTTGTGTGCGCGCTCTTGCCCCTGCTCAAGTGGACGGCGTGCAGGCTTTTGTGTGACCGGGTGTGTTGAGATATAGGCCCGACACATCTGCCGCTGTGCCCTTTCCTTTGAGAGTGTGCCCTCTAACAAGCTGAACATTTGTCAACAAAGCCAGGAAGCAGTTGTTGTTTGCCAGTAAGCAAGAAGAGGCCTGCAGAGGCAGCCCACAGACACACTGCCAGATATTGCATAAGCAAGGTGTGTTTGTGTGTGTGTGTGTGTGTGTGTGTTTGTGTGTTTGTGTTTGTGTGTGTAGCGTGTGTGTCAGCAGCCCCCACCACCACTTGAGTTGGCTTGTTAGCACTACTTCTGGGGGTTATAAGAGCCAAGAGCCATCCAGTCATTGTAGCTGCTTCATGCAGGCCATTAATGCAGAGCTCATTTAGCCCGGAGCCAGCCCAGCGAATCACTCTCATGTGTTTTCTTTTTTTACTTGCTCTGTTCTGTGACCATGTGATCATTTGACTTATGTGATTTATGGGGCTGGCAGTGGTTTTCCCTAAGGTGGGGAGGGGGGGGGGATGAATGCACAGCTCAGTGGCTCCTAACCAGCGGTCCTGGCCCCCATCCCAGTCGTTTTAAGGGAAATTTTGGAGCAAGATGAATAAAAGATATTTTTTTGGGATGTAAAGAACTTTACAGATAATGCTAGAACATCACCAAACACAAGTCCTCTTTGAGTCACATGTATGGCAAACTACAAATTATGCTTTTAAGGTTGTTTACACATCGGCTCGTAACTGTTTTCACTCGCCAAACATCTGGACGCTTGGGCACAGAGACGAGACAGCAGAGCCAGCAGTAAAAAGAACTGGGTTAGATGTCCTTCTCCTTGAAATGAAAATTGTTTCCTATAAATATGAAACCATGTCTACCGCTTAACTACAACTGCCATAAAGTGCCAAAATTGTCTGCTCTGTAATCTTAACTCACCCTGAAATAAGGGTGGAATAAGAATTTAGAACTAGAAAGAAATCAGTAATTCATGAGTTACCAAAGAGAGTTCTGTGTCACAACTCGTTCTTCAACCACAACCTTTTTAAGGGCAAACAAACCATATTTTTTAAACCACTGCGCCTATGAGAGTACAAACTCTTACTCTGCATTATTAGCGAATATCATGATAGCTGCCTTGACACACTGATCTCAGTACAGTTGGCAGCCTTTCCTGTTTTATTTGCAGCAATAGTTCTGTTGTATCTCATGTGTATCTTTAGATCTGTATTAATGTTTGGGATGATTTTAACATAGTAAACCACTAACTCAGATATCCACATATTGGTGTTACTGTGGTAGCTGTGGGAGCAGCACGTCTGCACAGTTATGTTAGATTCAAAAATTGATTTTGGTGAAGACATATCTGGCACTCATTGTCCTACAGTATGTGCTCAGACATTAATAATGTGGGTCTTATTATAGGTTAAATAAAGAGTTTTATTTCATAGTTAAAGGCCACTTTTTTGTTTTTTTTTCCACAATATTTCATGGTATCTCAAAAATGGCCATCGCTACAGATTAAGGAAAGTCTCATAACATCCAACTATTTTATACAGCTACTAGGAACCCCCGCACATTTACAGTATCACTTCCACTCTGTCTCTTTTATAACAGCTATCAAACAGTTTGCCATAGATTACACACTGTCAGATAGAGGAATATGGATTATTTTGTTGTCTCATAAAAACTAACAGAAGCTATAATTTAAAAGTCACAATGATCTCGTCACCACTTCTCTTGCCAGATTCCTACCAGCCAGTGAGCAGCAAAGATGGAGAGAAGGGAGGGAATAGGGGAAAAAGCCAGAAGGAAATGCAAGAAGTTGAAAGGATGGGATGGATGAAAGCAGACAGGAGGTGGAGTAGAAAATTGCACCAAGATGAGAAATGGCAAACGTTGACAAATCATTGCTCTGACGATTGCCGTGGCTCAGATGGGAGTGAAATTATTATTTAAAAAAAATAAAAAATCTGGTTAAATCTTATGAAATATAAACTAGCCTGCAAGAGCGTACCGAATGCTGCAATATGCTGTAATAGGTTTGAACACACTGGGATCGGAACATGAAGTGGCCTGTCAGTTATGTGTTGGCTGCTAAGGTTTCATGGCTTCCAGAGAGAAAACAACACCTTGGCTTAACCCCAATTACCGGGAGTGATCTGTAATTGGTTTTGCTCCACAAGGCTCAGACAGAACTTCAGACACTAACGGAGCGTGTCAGTTTGACTCTGTGTTTGTGCTTGCATTATAACCAAGGTGATGCAGGCTACCCACAGGTCATGGATAAGTGGAACTTTTACACTCTGTGTTTGTCATGGAACTGTAAATGAAATCTAGTAGGGCCAAATTTCAGAAACTACGGGTCACAGAAACAGGTGGAAGCAGCTCTGATCACACTGTCTGGAGCAGTGAAGCCTTCAGTACACCCACATCATTCAAAAGAGGGGTTGTCCTATGTTAGAAACGCCCATCCACCCCAACAGCCAGATGTCTCTGTCTCTCTCACAGGACCAGTAACACAAGTGCGCCTTCTAGCGGTGACTCCAACTTTGTATGCGCGCGTCAGTGTTGACCTGCTGCAATAAAAACAAAGGTGTCACTTACGGTAGAAGACATATTCTGTGTAGCTGGACCAGATCTTGTCCTCTGTGTGCTGGTTGACAAACGAGGCTGTGACTGACGAGTTGCAGGCCACCATTTGGAAACCGCACTCCGACAGCATGTCAAAAGACCTCTCCAGGTGCTTGAACTTGAGGTAAAACCGGGAGGTGTACCGATCCGGGGTCCTGTCCGGGTCCCGGCTCTCGTTCAGGGTCTCCCCGAAAACTTCTTTGGCGAGAGCGACCCTCCCGCATATCAGTATCCGAGGCACCCTCCTGAACTTGGCGTCGGTTTGACTCTCCCGGCCCATGGTGCACGACCCCCGGTATCCCACCGTGATGAAGCCGCTCTTTCTGTCCGCGGGGACCAGAGAGGGAGGCGGACACTGCCGGTGGTCTCTGCCCTGCGACCCATCTTCATAGTCGCTGTGGAAGTAGTCGTCCGGGCTGTGCTTGATATCGTCAGGGGTCAGGAGCTTCACCAAGTCGGGCAGCTGAAAGTACTCCGCCTCTTTCCTGAGCCTCCCTTTCTCCGGGAAGTGGTCCGGGAGGACGACCTGCTTGTCTCGGAGGTAGTCCAACACATACCGGAATAAAAACCCATCTCTGTCGATGAAATAACGACCCTTGGGGTCTCTCGCCAAGTCATTAGATGCGTCTTTTTTGGAAGAGAACAGCTTACCGAGTAATGAATTCGGGGTGCCCACTAAAGTTGAGTGACGAGTGTAATAAACCTGCCCCCCTACGTTTAATTCAACAACATCTGGGAAACTGTTCTGAACTGATGCTTGCTCTTTGGGGTTAGTCCTACAGTTTCCACTCAGCGCCATCGTTTCCGTCATGAACAGCTACAAACAGGCTACACACCTATACAGCAAGTCACAGAAAAGAAAAGGGGAAAAAAACGACGGATCAGGATGTTAAAAGTTGCTAAGCTGTGTCCTCGGTTATTCTGTGTCGCTGCACGGCCTCCAACTTCATCTCACAACAATGTGGAGAAGCGTTTTTCATCGATCCATGGCCATTATCGCCTACCAGTCTTTAGCAGTTGTCGAAAATGGGGGGGGAGAGGGGGCGGGGGGGGGGGGGGGGCAGTCCGGGGAGTCCCTCTGTGAATGTTAAATTAAAAGAAGGCCGAGATGGGTGACTTGGTGGAGGAAAGAATCAGCGCTGCGAGAGAGGAGAGATGTATCCGGGCGCATCAAAGCCTTGCATCAGTGGCTAATGTAAGAGCATTACAGAGGGGGGAACCGGTGGAGGCTGTAAGATGCCTATTGCTCCGAATCAAAACTTGTCTTGCTTTCGTTTTTGCTACTACAAGTATCATCCAATAAATAGAAATAATAGAAATCCTTTTGCGCGCACGCGACCAGAAAATTACGCAGTAGAAGTGTGTTAAAGAAAAAGAAAAGTCCAACAACTTATTTAAGGATATAGTCCACACAGAGGAAGGTGCTGATTTGGTGTCACTTTCTCTTCAACTTCCCCTTGAACACCAGCAGATTTTCCGGGCGGTGCAGGTCGGCGGGAGGAGGCACAGTCCCTTTCAGAGGCGAGAAACTTCGGGGAGATGGCGCACGCAAACCTCGGGAGTCCTGTAATGGTTTTGTCTGTTGTCTGTCACTACAAATATGTCGCCTATTCCGGATTGAAATAATAAGTCCTCCACTCCACAAATATATCTTACATGTTCTCATCCAGAGTTTGAAAAAAAGAATAAATCTCAGTTTGGATTTTTCTCCTTTTGTTTTCAGAGCAGCGGAGAGGACCGACCCGCTGCTGCTGGCTGCTTTTACCGGGAGCTGTCCGCGGTGCTGAAACGAGCATCTCACCCCCCCCTCCTCTCCTTCTCCTCACCCTCCCTTCCACACTCCCGCACCGCCACCCCTCCCCTACAGAGCTGGGTGGTGTCTTCACTGCACACACACAGACACACACACACACACACACACAGAGAAAGAAAGAGAGAGGCAGAGGCTTACGGGGCGATTCCAGGCTGCTTGGTGGGAAAAAATAAAAGTCTTTGAATTATCTACAATAATTGAACAGACTTAAATCCATTGTCACAAAGTCCCTATATTCATATATATCATAGTATATTAATGTCTATAAAATATAATGTTAGCACCACTACATTCAGATGTGGACACTTGGTGCAGCCAGAGGTGAAAGAACCGCATGCCCCTCTTTAAAATAAAGTTTTAGGCATTCACAGAAATTCCAGTGCAGAGTCTGTTGAATTGCTGCATCCATCTTTGTGCCATTATTATAATAAGCTAAACGCTCACAATGCTGCAGTTTGACCCCCAACTTGAATCCATTTGCATGACATTTTAGTTTGAATGCGTAAATACAGAACATATTTTGGTTTGCACGCTGCAAACTGTCTGTATTGTTCCCAGTTTTGCATTTTGACTGCAGCCCGTTTGTAGTTTTCATTTTTGGAGCCTTTTCACAAATTAAAATCTCTTAACGAAAATGCTATCTTTCAAACCCAGATAAATGGCTGTAACTGGCACTGAGTGGTGATGTTTTGGGTCTTGGGCTTTGCAACAGCGCCTCCCTCTGTTTGCATCGCGATATGGCTAGACTTCTGCTTTCAGCACCGTGGATAGATCCTCACACAGAAAAGTGAGGTAACTACAATGTCTTGCCTTTTTTTACTTAACAATATATGAACTTTATATTTATTTTTTTTCCAGGAATTCGACTAAGATTGATCTTTGCCTGCTATATTATGCGTCACACCCATTGAAATATATAGGAAAAGCACACACTGAGGTCATGAGACGAGCATGACCAGATGAGGTACAGGATACTATGCACTGGATTTCTACAGAATACAGATTCCAGTAGTAGTGTAACCTGTAGTCTCACAAACCATCTGCTCCAGCTGCAGGGCCGAATCAGGGCTTGTAATAAATACAAATACTGTGGAGAAAAAAGTATAAATATACAAGGTCTGCTGTATCTCAGAAAGTCTGCTTCATACTAAGCAGTGTTCTGCTTACAGCTCTCTGCCTGTATGCTGCTTTTATTTTCCTTTGGCTTTCATCTGTCCACTTTCAACCAGCCTTGCCTCCAGCAAAACGGCATTTTTTGGCATTTCTTCATGAGCTGTGTTCTACCTCTGGGGACATGATGCCACTGCTTTTTGTTTTGAATTTTGCAATTAGATTTTAGTCTGTTTAGCCTTGTGTTAACTCTAAGCAGAGCCACTGAGGCAGTCACTTGCATCGTACCCAGTGGGGGTTTGTTGTTCTTGCTTAGAGGCACTTCAGCAATGTAGGGCATCATTTGTACAGGGGGATCAGCAAGCAGACCTCAACTCCTGCAGCCCTGCTTGTATGTAGCCTGAATTATAAACAACTCCTCCTGTCCGTCCCAATTTTATACTTATTGTAATACCCATTCTAATCATTTTTTGAATAGGTTTATGGTCATATAAGATAATTTTAAATTGATATTTAAGTCCCTTGGCTTTTAATTTGAAGCTGACAGACACTCCGATCTTGAATGCAAAGCTTAATTATAAAAGGTGGAGCCATTGATGCCCTTATCCACAATGTGGTGTCATGCGGTGTTTCCAATAAATATAAAAAGGCAGGAAAAACAGTTTTAGTCACTATTTGTGGCATTTTCAAATTTGAAACTAATTTCTAAAGTTGCACCTCAGTCTGAGTCCCACCAACACACACGTTGCATCATATCCAGCACAATACAGAATATCAGCTATTTTTCTAGCACACAAACTGACAAATCAGAACACTATTAGGAGTAATATAAAGCAAATGCATTTGAGAAACAGTAATTTGAAAGTGTCAGCCAGTATAATCACATTGGCAGTATTTCTTTAAAGGTTCAGGTTGAAGGATTTAGCAAGATGGACTGGCAGAAATGAAATATTCATTTAAACCTTTATTAAAGACTCTGGAAATCAATTGAGGGAGACCCTCATTTTCATTGATGTCGAGCATGAACAAAGACATTCATAACAATCAATAAGCAAACAAAGAGCCATCATGCATAGCAATTAAAACAGAAATGAAATCATGCAAAACAACAACAGCAATAAATGGGCTCTAAAAGTAGAAATACAGCGTGATAAACATGCTCAGGTGTAGATGAATAGTTAAAAACATTTACACTCAGATAAAAAAATAAATCTGAAATAAGGCCTTTAAACATCCATAAGGGTGGCAGAGTGTCCAAGTTTAAGGTCTTTTGCAGATTATTCCATGTATGAACAAATACCAATGCTGTTCCCGCCTCACAGCCAAATATGGCCAGCCAACCTTTCGGTAAAGCTGGCAGTGATGGGTGCTGTAAGAATCACCTGTTATGAACCTTAGGGCTGAGTGGTAGACAACAGGTATAATATAATATATTTTCTTAGGTGTGTCATTACCTGAAAATAAAATGTGTTTTTGTTACCTTAGAACAGGCTGTTTATATCTACTCATGGAGCGGACCCTCTTCCTCGGGGTCTGCCATGATTCTACAGTAGCCCAGAACAGACAAACCAAACACTGGCTCTAGATAAGGTCATTCATGTTTTCACATCTTTGTGATGGCCGCTGTGGTTAGCAGCCCCTTAGTGATGAGCAAAACAGCATCAGAAAAACACAAATTTAGTCAGAAACACTTTAGTCAAAGAAAACCTTATTTCCATTTGCAGTATTATTTTTGGCGGTATGGCTCTGTTCTGGGGCCCTTCTGCCTTTCCTCGGGCCCACGCAGAAAGCCTCCTCCACACAGCTACATGGAAAGCATAAAGCGGAGAGAGCGCACCTCTCCACACTTCCACGCACCTGTGCGGAAATCCATAAGGCAGGGAGAGCGCACCAGTCTGCTCTTCCATGTGCAAATGAGGAAAGCCTGAGGCACAGAGAACAGACCTCCCTGCCCTTCCATGCGCCTGCATGGAAAGACTAGGGCAAGGAGTGCAGCAGCAAAGACCCCCCAGGAACAGAGCCAGGATCAATGACAAAAAAGAAATGACACTGATAAATGAGACACAACATTAAAAGGAGGAGCTGGGGTGGAGGCGAGTTGCAAAGTGGCTTGCAGAGGAAGCAGCAATGGTACACACTGCTCTTATAATTAAAATGACAGTGCAGTTTGAGACACTTCTCCAATCACTGGCTATTTACAATATGCCCTATCCAGTCAGACGGAGTTGAAACTACAGGAGAGAAATGGAGCAGGAGAATGAGTGATATTAACCAAAGTGAATTATATCCAGAGAGTGAGAGCGAAAGCAAGGAGGTGTTCCTGACTGGGACCTGAGCAGTCACCCAGAAGTAGGCCACGCTGGTAGCTTCATCATAAATACATGTAGCCTCTATACCACTCCCTGCTGCACTGCTATTTAAAGGCCAGATGACTGGTCACCTGTAAAGGGTTAAACCTGTTTGGACCGACATAATTCATTTCAACTCGACTCTCTCAGTCCCCAAAGAGCACTCAGTTTAATGGCATAAGAACTTACTAAACACACAGCAGGACCATCACCAAAGCTGACAACACATCCCTCCATGTTCTCTGCATGCATTTCAGAATACATCATCATAGACTCAAACACATCTCAGTAAATGGTTATGTGAAAAAATTTTGGAAAATCAGAATTCCCATTTATTCAGTCAGTGGAACAAATCCCAGAGCTAAGGGACAGACATATTTACATCAAACAGGCTGTGACATTTATTTTAGTTTCTTGGTTTCTTTGCTGTTCTGAAACCTCATTTCAGTTGCATATTAGTCAATACCAAATATATGATGAAATATTTACTCAACAAGCACAGCAGCAACATTCATAATTTATTGTTTTTCCAAGAGAGACGTGATATCAGAGAGATTTCTAATTTTTCACTTGCAAAAGAAACTCACTTCTTACACTGAAAATAAAATCCGCTTCCTTGACACAGACCGACTCGGAGCACGCTCATTTTCTTCCTGTGCAGTGCAGAGAAAACTATTAAAGGGAATTTTCAGGCCGGTCACAGATGGTTGAAATAAACAGCATACTACTTCCACTT